TGACTAGCACACTTTGGCCTGGAGTCCTCACCTAGGGGTGCAGGGGGCTCTCAAGGTGGTGACACCTGGGTCAGAGGAGGTGGGCAGTGGGATCTGGTGTAGGCTGTGAGGATGGCACTTGCCCACCTCTTTGAGCTAGAGGAGTCTTTGTCATGAGTGAGGGGCACTGACTGGGAGTTGGGGTGGAGTCCCGGTGCTGCTCTTTTAGCGCAAAGACCTTGGGAACATCAATGAGGCCAGTTTCTTCTTCCATAAAAGTCAGCTCTCACTATCCCTATGTTCTAGGCTTGTTGCATTTTAATACACCATTCCCTTAGGCCACTGTGACCTCCTGGAGGGCAGGGACTGTATGGTTGTGTCCTTTAGCCCTTACCCCCACCCCCTGTAAGACCACGGAGCTAAATAGATCAGTATAAAGTTGGTTGAGTGAATGAATGAGAATTCAAGCAGACTATATATATATATATATTAGAGGCCCAGTGCACGAAATTCATGCACGGGGTGTGTGTGTGTGTGTGTGTGTGTGTGTGTGTGTGTGTGTTCCTCAGCCGGCCTGCACTCTCTCGCAATCCTGGACCACTGGCTCCTAACCACTCTGCCTGCCTGCCTGATCGCCCCTAACCACCTCTGCCTTGGCCCCCGCTGTGGCGGCTTTGTCCAGAAGGATGTCCAGAATGACGTCTGGAAGGTCGTTCGGCTGTCCGGTCTAATTAGCATATTACACTTTTATTATATATATACACGGTTTTTACTTCATATCATGCCTGGTTAGCTCCTACCTCACTGTCTGTTGTATCTCAGTCCCCTTGCAAAGCTCTTCTCTACTTACCTCCTAAATATTCACCTGTTCCGGAACTCGGTCCAGAGCCCTCTTCCCTTCCCTTCTCTCCCTCCTCCTCCCCTCCTCTCCTCTCTCCTCCTCTTTCCCTCTGCTCTCCTGTTCTCTTTAGAGTGGCACTGTGTGCTAGGACCTCCTCCTGCGATGATGGAAATGTTCTATGCCTGTGCTGTCTAATATCATACCTCACACCTACTGAGCTTTTTTAATGTGGCTAGTGCCACCGAGGAGCTGAAATTTTTATTGTATTTATTTTAATTAATTTCAGTGTGGATACGTCTCAGGTGTCCATTTTGGACACAGCAGACCTAGTGTCATCCTCAGGTGATATCATCTGGGCCCCAGGCACCCAAATGTATATCTCCAGCTCAGACCTCGCCTTGGCACTCCAACCGCCCACTGGACTGTTCCACGTGGTGTCTAACAGGCTTCTTCAATGGTTTCCTCTCCCTAGAGTTGTTCCGCACTGCCCCAATACTGGCCGCTTTTCTTGGCAAGCGTGATTGCAGACAGGAAAGTCCAGCGAGGGGAAAGGTCTTGTCCAGTCGCCAACCCCAGGGGGCAGGCTAGATGGGAGCAGCACGTTGGCCCAGCGTGTGGGGCCCTGACTGGCTTCCCTTTCCTTCTCAGAGCGCCAGTCACCAGGGCCGCATGCCAGCTCCACCGATGACGACAAACTCCCAGCCACGTCCCCTCTGAGCAGGGATACGATGGGAAGCCAGCAGGAAAGAGCTGATGAGGAGGCCCCCTGCCCGTCCTTCTCTCCTCACAACAGCTCCTCCCCAAACCCCTGGCAGAATGGAAAGTGCTCCAGCTCCTTGGCTTTCTGCTCCTGCCCCCCACCCATACCCATCTCCAAAGAACTCCCATTCCGCCTTCACCCCCTCTGCCCTGCATATCCACTTCTCCTGCCCCCACCTTATCTGTTCACCTATGGGGCCCCTTCTGTCCAATGCCATCCTTTCTTCATGTTGCCCCAAGATACCTCCTACCCCACCAGGGCTGTGCCCAGTGTGCTGATGAGTGTCAGTGAGCCTGGGCACCACAGCTCCTGGGGGGAGACCCTGCGTCCCTACCCAGGGGCCTCTCAAGCCTCTGGTCAAACCTCACTGTCCCAGGCCCCGATTCCAGGCCCTGGAGCTGCCAGGACCTACTCCCCAGTGCCAGAGCATGCTGGCAGGGCAGCTCCAGCAAAGCGGGCCCCACTGGGCTCCCGTGCAGCCCTGCCTTACCCGCTGAAGAAAGAGAATGGCAAAATCCTGTACGAATGCAACGTGTGCAGCAAGAGCTTCGGGCAGCTCTCCAACCTCAAGGTATCATCCTCCTGGGCTCCAATGCCCTCCCCTAATCCCCAGCATCCCAGCATCTTTTAATTTAATGGTGAATTTAGACCTTGATCTCGGTCTCTCAGCATCTAGTGCAAAGCCCTTTCCTGAACAGCCTTTTTTTCTAGATTCCCAGTTATATCTCCTCGTGTTTGTTTGTTTGTTTGAAGTTAAGTGGGCGAACGGGTAGATCTTAGTGAGACCCATAGAACTGAGGACCAGCCTTTGTCAAGTGGGATCCCACAAACCAGCGCCCAGTGCCGTTGGCGTCCACCAGGGGGCGACCATGGGCACACCATGGGCTCAGCAAAGATGAGCGCTATGCATAAGTTGGCATTGCTGAAGTTGAGGAAAGGTTATGATTATTGAGGGAGATGCCTTCTTGATCCTCAGGCATGAGTTCCCAAACTTTAATGAGCCTCAAACTACCAAAAGAGCTAGTAAACATGCAGATTCCTAGGCCCCAGCCCAGGGATTCTAATTCAGATGGTCAGCGTGGGGCCTGAGAATCTACATTTTTAATGTTTTAATGTACTTCCGGGTGATGCTGATGCTGCTGGTCTGTGGACCACACTTTGAGAAGCACTGCTCAGGAGATACATTCCCCCTTCCCTGGCCTTCTGACCACCGCCACCTCCCTCCCTCAGGGCAACAGAGAGAGGGGGTACCTGGGGGATGGAAGAGAGGCGAGGGGCTTGAGAGGCCTTGATGCCAGAATGAGTTCCTGTGGAGATGTGGGTAGAGGTTCAGAGAGGACCCCAGGCCCTGCTGGGGCTCTGGGCAGTTGGCAGCATTTCCTCCATACCTGGCTCAGGTCCATCTGCGTGTACACAGCGGGGAGCGGCCGTTTCAGTGTGCCCTGTGCCAGAAAAGCTTCACCCAGCTCGCCCACCTGCAGAAGCACCGCCTGGTGCACACTGGGGAGCGGCCCCACAAGTGCCTGGTGAGACCCTTCTCCCCTCCTGCACTCCTGCAGGCAAGTGAGGAAGGAGTTCCAGACCCCTGGGGGAGGGCCCTGTGGCCTCCATTCCCAATCCTCCTGAGACGAGGGTGGGGCAGGGAGGGAGGGGGGGAGCATGAAAGTGACCCCTCTGAGCCCCGAAGGGCCAGGAAGTGATATTGGAGGTCACTCCTGGGGTCTGGGGCGGGGAATAGAGGTGTAAGTCTGTGCGGGGAGGATAGTAAAGTTGGGGGTGGATACCTATTACCTTCTTTCCTGCTGGAGAAGTTAGTGGCAGAATGTGTACAAAGCACAAACACTGCATATAAATAACATCAGCCCCAGGTTGGCTCTCTCCCTCTTTGAGCCGCAGTCCCCACTTGGGAGGTCAGAGGGCAGGGACTCTTGCCCTGTTTTACACAAACAGAATGAAAGCAGCACAGTGGCTGTGAGTCTGAGCTACGTGGGTTCAAATCCTTGCTCTGCCTCCAACTTGCTGTGGGGCCTTGGGCCAGTGGTTCAATCCCCTGAGCCTCTGCTTTCTCACTGTCTATAGGGGTTGCCCTAGTACTTAGTCATGCTTCCTCGGGGTCGTGGGGAAGACTACACGAGACCAATTCCTGGCCTGTGGCTGCTCCCAGTAAATGTTAATTATACCCACGGAAGCGGCAGCCCCACTCATAAAGGTTGCATGTGATGACCTCATTCAGTCTATCATACCGATGAAGTTAAGTATTAACAGTCACATGTTACCAATAAGGTGGACAAGGCTCAGAGAGGGGAAGTCACCTACACAAGGCCATGCAGGGAATAAAAGAACCAGGATACCAACCAGGTCTGCCTGGCTCCAATGTGCCAGACACTGTGGGTCCCAGGGTGGAATCCTGGGGTGGTGTGTGTGTGTGTGTGTGTGTTTGTCGGGGGGAGGAGGGGCAGCTTCAGAGTCTGTATTACAGGGAAGTGGGGAGGGAGTAGGGAAGGGGAGCAGAGATCCTGACCCAGCTGGGTGGGCACAACTGATGCCAGTGCTCATTCCCATCAGACGTGCCACAAGCGCTTCAGCAGCTCCAGCAACCTCAAGACGCACCTGCGCCTGCACTCGGGGGCCCGGCCCTTCCAGTGCAGTGTCTGCCCGAGTCGCTTCACCCAGAACGTTCACCTGCAGCTGCACCATCGGCTGCACGCTCCACTGCCCTGCAGCCTGGCTCATCCCCACCTACCTCTGGCATCTCTCACCTGCCTTGCCGGGTGGCACCAAGGGGCACTAGATCTTGTGATGGTGCCATCAGAGAGGCAGGTGGGCCAGGAAGCTGACAACATGAAGGTGTCCTCAGCATCTCGGGGAAAGCAAGGGCAGCCAGCCTGAGCAGTGGTGTCAGGACTGCTCTGGGCAGGGGCAGGGGCAGAGCGATTAAAGGATTTTCTCTCTAACCAGTTGAGGCCTCTTGAGCTTCAACAGTGGAGGGGGAAGCCGCCGTGTGTTTGCCAGACTTCACAACTCACCCTGGAGCAGGTCAAGACAGGCAGGAAGAGCCTGTGCTGCCCACACATGGACTGGGTGCCTGCAGTCACTACCTGAGGCTTGGGTTTGGGTTCTGCCCCCTCTTGGGACCAGGTCCTTCATCTCGGCTCACCGATGGACAGTCCAGCCTCCCGGGCCTCTGCAAGGTGCAGACTGTGCTGCCAAGAAGGGGCATGTTGCTCTCTCATCTGTCCAGATGTCTGTCTGCTGCTTCCCACCACCTCTTGTCTTAGTTCTGAGGAGGCCACGGTGCCCTCAGCTGGTTACTCCCTGCCATGCCTGGCCTGTGCATGCCAGGATCGAGCCCCCTGTGTGGGTAGATGGGCAGGAACGCAGGATGTCAGTGTCCACCATGACCCAGAAGCATGATGTCCCATGTGCCAGGACAGACCGCTTCCAGACACAGTGGACATCCACGGCCCATCCTGTGCCAGTTGGCTGTGCCCCCTGCCACTGACACCAGCCAGGTCTGCCCTGTTGGCCTGCCCCAGAGCCTGGATCTCTGCCTATGTCCCTGCAGCTGGCACCCCCGGGCACAGCCCCACAGGGCCTCAGAGAGGACTCCCAGACACGAGTAAGTCCAGGCCCCAGGGCTGCACTTGGTGGAGGCTGAGGTGGGGGCACTGTTAGGCTTCAGGGTGGAAGGGGGAGGGGACCCAGTGTCACTGGTAAGGACAGAGCCTCAGGCACACTTGACTAGCACACTTTGGCCTGGAGTCCTCACCTAGGGGTGCAGGGGGCTCTCAAGGTGGTGACACCTGGGTCAGAGGAGGTGGGCAGTGGGATCTGGTGTAGGCTGTGAGGATGGCACTTGCCCACCTCTTTGAGCTAGAGGAGTCTTTGTCATGAGTGAGGGGCACTGACTGGGAGTTGGGGTGGAGTCCCGGTGCTGCTCTTTTAGCGCAAAGACCTTGGGAACATCAATGAGGCCAGTTTCTTCTTCCATAAAAGTCAGCTCTCACTATCCCTATGTTCTAGGCTTGTTGCATTTTAATACACCATTCCCTTAGGCCACTGTGACCTCCTGGAGGGCAGGGACTGTATGGTTGTGTCCTTTAGCCCTTACCCCCACCCCCTGTAAGACCACGGAGCTAAATAGATCAGTATAAAGTTGGTTGAGTGAATGAATGAGAATTCAAGCAGACTATATATATATATATATTAGAGGCCCAGTGCACGAAATTCATGCACGGGGTGTGTGTGTGTGTGTGTGTGTGTGTGTGTGTGTGTGTGTTCCTCAGCCGGCCTGCACTCTCTCGCAATCCTGGACCACTGGCTCCTAACCACTCTGCCTGCCTGCCTGCCTAATTGCCCCTAACCACTCGCCTGCCTGCCTGATCGCCCCTAACCACCTCTGCCTTGGCCCCCGCTGTGGCGGCTTTGTCCAGAAGGATGTCCAGAATGACGTCTGGAAGGTCGTTCGGCTGTCCGGTCTAATTAGCATATTACACTTTTATTATATATATACACGGTTTTTACTTCATATCATGCCTGGTTAGCTCCTACCTCACTGTCTGTTGTATCTCAGTCCCCTTGCAAAGCTCTTCTCTACTTACCTCCTAAATATTCACCTGTTCCGGAACTCGGTCCAGAGCCCTCTTCCCTTCCCTTCTCTCCCTCCTCCTCCCCTCCTCTCCTCTCTCCTCCTCTTTCCCTCTGCTCTCCTGTTCTCTTTAGAGTGGCACTGTGTGCTAGGACCTCCTCCTGCGATGATGGAAATGTTCTATGCCTGTGCTGTCTAATATCATACCTCACACCTACTGAGCTTTTTTAATGTGGCTAGTGCCACCGAGGAGCTGAAATTTTTATTGTATTTATTTTAATTAATTTCAGTGTGGATACGTCTCAGGTGTCCATTTTGGACACAGCAGACCTAGTGTCATCCTCAGGTGATATCATCTGGGCCCCAGGCACCCAAATGTATATCTCCAGCTCAGACCTCGCCTTGGCACTCCAACCGCCCACTGGACTGTTCCACGTGGTGTCTAACAGGCTTCTTCAATGGTTTCCTCTCCCTAGAGTTGTTCCGCACTGCCCCAATACTGGCCGCTTTTCTTGGCAAGCGTGATTGCAGACAGGAAAGTCCAGCGAGGGGAAAGGTCTTGTCCAGTCGCCAACCCCAGGGGGCAGGCTAGATGGGAGCAGCACGTTGGCCCAGCGTGTGGGGCCCTGACTGGCTTCCCTTTCCTTCTCAGAGCGCCAGTCACCAGGGCCGCATGCCAGCTCCACCGATGACGACAAACTCCCAGCCACATCCCCTCTGAGCAGGGATACGATGGGAAGCCAGCAGGAAAGAGCTGATGAGGAGGCCCCCTGCCCGTCCTTCTCTCCTCACAACAGCTCCTCCCCAAACCCCTGGCAGAATGGAAAGTGCTCCAGCTCCTTGGCTTTCTGCTCCTGCCCCCCACCCATACCCATCTCCAAAGAACTCCCATTCCGCCTTCACCCCCTCTGCCCTGCATATCCACTTCTCCTGCCCCCACCTTATCTGTTCACCTATGGGGCCCCTTCTGTCCAATGCCATCCTTTCTTCATGTTGCCCCAAGATACCTCCTACCCCACCAGGGCTGTGCCCAGTGTGCTGATGAGTGTCAGTGAGCCTGGGCACCACAGCTCCTGGGGGGAGACCCTGCGTCCCTACCCAGGGGCCTCTCAAGCCTCTGGTCAAACCTCACTGTCCCAGGCCCCGATTCCAGGCCCTGGAGCTGCCAGGACCTACTCCCCAGTGCCAGAGCATGCTGGCAGGGCAGCTCCAGCAAAGCGGGCCCCACTGGGCTCCCGTGCAGCCCTGCCTTACCCGCTGAAGAAAGAGAATGGCAAAATCCTGTACGAATGCAACGTGTGCAGCAAGAGCTTCGGGCAGCTCTCCAACCTCAAGGTATCATCCTCCTGGGCTCCAATGCCCTCCCCTAATCCCCAGCATCCCAGCATCTTTTAATTTAATGGTGAATTTAGACCTTGATCTCGGTCTCTCAGCATCTAGTGCAAAGCCCTTTCCTGAACAGCCTTTTTTTCTAGATTCCCAGTTATATCTCCTCGTGTTTGTTTGTTTGTTTGAAGTTAAGTGGGCGAACGGGTAGATCTTAGTGAGACCCATAGAACTGAGGACCAGCCTTTGTCAAGTGGGATCCCACAAACCAGCGCCCAGTGCCGTTGGCGTCCACCAGGGGGCGACCATGGGCACACCATGGGCTCAGCAAAGATGAGCGCTATGCATAAGTTGGCATTGCTGAAGTTGAGGAAAGGTTATGATTATTGAGGGAGATGCCTTCTTGATCCTCAGGCATGAGTTCCCAAACTTTAATGAGCCTCAAACTACCAAAAGAGCTAGTAAACATGCAGATTCCTAGGCCCCAGCCCAGGGATTCTAATTCAGATGGTCAGCGTGGGGCCTGAGAATCTACATTTTTAATGTTTTAATGTACTTCCGGGTGATGCTGATGCTGCTGGTCTGTGGACCACACTTTGAGAAGCACTGCTCAGGAGATACATTCCCCCTTCCCTGGCCTTCTGACCACCGCCACCTCCCTCCCTCAGGGCAACAGAGAGAGGGGGTACCTGGGGGATGGAAGAGAGGC